AGTCTTTTACGTAATAATCTAGTTTATCGTAGCTATAGTAAATAAGCTCTTTTTCTTTTCTAGAGTTAAGTCTATCTCTATCTTTACTCTTAATATTACCGCGTCTTTTCTACGCTTAACCTAGATCTATAGACTATAATTCGTAATAAGATTTACGTTTTTTTTAAATATTAACTCGCTACGCTCTTATCATATAGATTTTTTTAGTAACGTTAGAATATTTATATTAACGATATTCTTTAATATCGTTATCTTTCTTAATAACCGTAGTTATTTATTTTTTTAGTAGCTTTTCTTCTAAATATCGTAGTTCTTACTTAATTTTTAGCTTTAATTCTTCTTAAAAGATAGAAATAGTAATATTATCTTATTAGTCGAGCTCCGTATTTAGCGTTCTAAACTTAGTTATATATTTCTAAATAAACTCTATTTATTAAAGATTTACTATTTTCTTTTAAGCTTTCTTTTCTTTATTTCTCGCTCTAAATATTAATTTCACTATTTTCTTAAACCTTATAAACGTAGCGAAGAGACTAATAATTTCATTCTCTTTATTATTCGTCTCATTCTTAATATAATCTTTAACGAAGAGTCTAAGCTAAGCCTCGACATTACCTTTAAAGTAACTTTCTATAAAGAGTATTTTCTATAAGTCATTTTAAAAGTTAGTGAGATTTATTAGAATATATAAGTCTATATAGTGAATAAAGAGTATAAGTTTAGATTCTACGCCATTAAAGGGCTTAGATGAATTACTAATCTTTTCCTTAGTTACTAGCGTAAGTACGGTAGTAGTTGTTATCGTTCTTAAGGTACTTAGTATTAATCTCGGGGTACTAGCGATAGTAGATATAGTATCGTTAAGAGATAGTCGTACTATACGTCGTGCTAGTTCGTTAATAAACGAGATAGATTAATTCGGTGTTTCTTAACTACTTATAGAGATTATTCTCTATAATAAGAGTAGTAGCTAAAGTATTAAAGATCCTACTAAGGTCTAACTAAGTTAGAGTTCCTAGTAATAATTTAAGTAGTATAAACTAGTTAGGAAGAATATAAGGTATAAATAGTCACTTATCACTAAGAACTATATAGTTCAATAGATAATATAAGTTAGCTACGAAGAGAGTGTAACTATTCCGGAGAGAGGGCGTCGCTATATACTTATATGGGCCTTCCGAATAAGGTAATGTAGAATGGTATATTAGTATATTAGTATGCTTTAGTCCAACATATTAACAGGCCAGCTCTTTCCTATTCTAGACGTCACGTGATCCCTTTTAGCCTTATTTCCTAAGGCTACCTTATTCGGTTAAGCTTCCTTCCTTATTCATCTTACGTTCTGCCCACGGGCCTTTAAGGCTGTGTCTAACATCTAACTTAGTCGATCTTAATACTATAGAAGACATTATCGAAGTCGTTTTTCATTACGATAGCTGCGATAGTGAAAAGATATACTGAAGATAACGCTACGATCCCGCTATCGGCCACTTTACGCTAAAGCGGTTACTATTACTAACTGGTGAGGATGTATAAACTATTTCGTCGAATAACACCGCTTTCGGCATCGCTATATCCTCTAATACTGCGATCCTTACGATAAAATATCTTCTATATCTTAAATATTAAGCTCGATGCGATTATAAATAGCTACGACGTAGCTCGTATACGAAGAGACGACTTAGGTATTACTAATGGTGACCCTAAATTTATAGATAAAGCTATAGTAATGGCTAATAAATGTCTTCCCTATACCGATAAACGATATAAATATAATCTTAAACGACTACGTAGTTTCTACGAAAAGAATCGATGTCGATATTAATAGCGGTGGTCTAGACTTCCCTTAAGTTCATAATACCTAAATATCACTCGATGAATAAAAGAGAATATAAACAGTCTAGTGAAAGTAATAAGTTCATAACCTCCTCTCTTATAATAACTCTACTCATCGCTAATATCACTTCTAAGTTAAAGTATGTAATATCTTCGCTTCGGCCTCGACTAACTTCGCGACCACTACACTTCTATTTAATATATATCCACTTTTCGTAATACGGGCCAAATCTCCCCCGACAAATTTCTCCTCGCGAGTGACTATCTTATCTATAAATTCCCCTCGTGGTCCTAGTTTAACGTCTCAAGTCCCGCACGCAGGATTAGTTATTTACTCGCTAATAATTAATTTCTTATCATAAGAGGAGTCCTATACTATAGGAGATTAAACGAGAATTTCGCGAGTGGAGACACGGCGGACGATCTTATAAGAGATAAGCTCTTAGGTGGTTTAGATATAGAGATAGGCGATGGTAAGGATAATGATTAGTTAAGAATGGGAGGGATAACGAAGAAGGAATAAAAAGGGTTAAGAGGGGAAGTGAGGATAATAAGTGAAAGTGGATAACTTAGTAAGAAGGTGAGCGAGGAGAAGAATGAAGAGGAAATTTCTAATATGGAGAATAAGGATGATAATAATGAGGCTATTATAAGGGATAAGAGTGAAGTTATTTTTGTATAAGAATAACGTCTTTTCTTTTATCTCTACTAGAGGCTCTAATTTACTAATATTTTATATAGACCCCTTTAAATATATAATCTCTATATAATCTATACTCTCTACTATCGCGCTTCGCGTATATATCTTTTTAGCTATCTCTCTTCTAGCGAGTCTCTATTCTCTTATCTTATAATGAAAGATATTATCGCTAACTATAAGGATAAAACTATTATCTTAAAAGACTTTCTCTTCTTTAATAATAGCGTTAAAATAGTGAGTATTCATCCTTATAAATATATAAGTGTGATGAAGATTCTACTAGATCGTATCGATACGACGTTGAAGCTTTGAGTGGAAAAGTAAAACTCCTCTAGTAATGGGCCGAAGATTATCTCTAGTATGAAAGGTCTAATTAACGATATAGTATATAAGTAGAATAGTAAAGAGAATAAGAGTAAGAAAGTGGCGATCCGTATAGACTAGTATCTAGTCGTATTTTTGAAGTTCATAGTGAGTGTAACGCTTAGAATTAAGTATGATTTTACAATAGGGTTATGATTAATATCGCGCTAGGTGTATAATAGATATAGCTATAGCTAGTCTTTCGAGAATATATTTAGCTGTAAGTGACTGATCCTTGACTCGGCAAATCATCACTACTACGAGACGAGGATTAATCTCGAAGTCGGCACCCAGTCGCGTCTGGAAAAGGGATGGGAGAACTATGGCCTCCGAATCGCGAAGCTACGTGGAATATGACTGTACGTAGGGATCGAACAGCAAAGTCTGGGAGATATACATACATATAGAACCGCTGTACGTTGGTCAAAATGAGTAGAAAGCCATTCAGTATCTCGCGGAATGTGAGGCTTTGCATATCTCCAGGTCGGGGGCAGCAATAAAAGATGAAGGAAAGAGAGCAGGGGAGTGAAAAAGGAAAACAACGGGTGAATAGTCAGAACCAATGCTATATCTATAGCCATCTGGGTATCATTTGTTACTTGTGCTTCGCATCTCGTTCTAACTCGTCCCAGTTCCAGCGTATCCTGCCCCCATCACCTCGCATATCCATTCACCCCGGCTGATCCATTCATCTCTGCCTTCCCGTTGCCGTAGTACTCACCCTACTGCTCCTTAATCGTCGCCGCCTTATTCAATTCCCGGGGCGCTAAATATTCGCTTCCCACAGTCCCACCCTCTCATCCAGAATGTCGGGCGTCCATGCCTTCATCTCCTCAAGACAGATCTTCCTCGCGACCCAGCTGAACTCGCTGACACCGATTGTGTAATTACTCGCGCGCTCGTACTCGACCATTTAGAGGATCAACTTCACTTTATCGATATCGTGGTTAAACTTCGATTCTAAGGATTCGCGGTCTTCGTACTCTTGTAAATAGTACGGATTTCCTTCCTAAAGATTGTACCGTAGGGTAATACTTAAGCGATTTAATTTATAGTATCCGCCTCGTGTCTGCTCTTCTTAATTTTCGATATGTCGTCTACTTATATTAAATCTCTGATAAGTCCTTTAGCCATATAGTAGATAAGCACTATTTTCGTATACCGCGGAATATCTAATCGAGAACTTAACTCTAGAAGAATAAGTATTGTAATCAGTGATTTGCGAGATGTATAGTCTACTATTAATTCTCCTCTTGAGATACCGAATCTACGCTATCCTTCGCGGTTTTTAATCCCTAGTTATTCGACATAGTGAAAAAGATGAAATGGGCGAGGACGAGTTCTCGGGGGGCGGGTTCGGGAGGTCTTTGAGGACAGCGCAGACCGACCATAGATTGGATTTGGGGAGAAGGGACGTGTACGATGTTCTGGCTGGGGGTTGGAGGACTGCTTGTAGTTATGGTGAGTGGAAAGTTCCAATTAGGGGAACTTGCGTACCTTGAGGTTCGTCTGTGCTCATGGTGTCGTTGGTGGGAGTGTTTGGCAAAATCGAGAGCGGTGAGTAATGAATGCTGTAAGGACAGAAAGAAGACGAATCTAAGAGCGAGGCGAATTTCAAACTGCCCTCTCATTGGCCCAGACCACACCTCTGTGTTCCCAGTGTAGTGTTGGCCTTGCTTGCTTTATCTCCCTCAGATTGATGAATATGGGCAGTTTCAACGATTGGTACGTCATGTTCTGCGTGACCGACTCGGTCATTGTGAAGATTGTACATTCATGTGGCGAGAGGATCCCCGATTGGGAGTTATACGGTGCTGGCCAAGGGTACCAGACGCGAAGACGTTCCGGACCTCCGACGAGAGGCACACATCTACGAGACGTGCCTCAAGCCGGTGTAAGGAGCTTATACTCCTCGGGAGTTTCGATCTGGCACATCCACTCCAGTATGTTGGGCGGTACCGGTTATGCATATGATGGTGTTGAGCCTTGGAGGAAATTCGTTGAACCACCTTCGCGCCGTCCCCGATGCAAGCGAGCAAGCAAAGATACTGTATTTGGTGGAATTTCCTTGTAGCCCTCGGCACGACACAGGCCAGTCTACCTACATTTGCAAGGCTCCCATCTTCTCGAGCTTGAAGTCCCCTACCTGCGTGATCATTTCCTTTGTGGAGGTAAATGCCACCCTTGGTGCCTCTGCCAGAGCGGCTTCCTCTCCCACCTTCAAATTTGTCCTGACCCTTCCCGTGACCACGTTTAGCATTTTTTCCGCCTCCTGCATGCTATGTACTTTGTCCGTCCTCCATGCAACGTGCTGGTCCGGTCGGATCAACACCAGGGCTTTCTCATACAATGTCTTCGCCAGTTCTTCACCGTTGAGAGAGACCACTTTCAAGGGTATTGACAGAGATATGGCTGCCTCCCCCACGAATTCTTGTCCACAATTTTCGTCAAAGACCAGCAGGGTCCAGTCTTTCCCAAGTTTGTCAAATATAGGGGTGCCGTCTGAGAGAAAGATATGCGGAGGCCGACCACCTGGCCACGAGGTAGGTGTGTATTGAGCCGGTGTCCAGATAGGCTGTTCCGCATCTTTGTCTGGAATTATAACCGGCGATTCGTATCGATAGCCCATTTCGATACCAAAATCCTTGTTCTCACCAGAGTTCCTTTGGTAATGTTCATGGATGGTGGCTCGAAGTTGACGTCCCTCCTCCGTATCTTCGTCAACACGATTCGGGTCGCCACCGGATAGGATTTCTCTTAACTGGTCGTGAACCTGGAAATGGACTCCAGAGCGCTCGACGTTTTGAAGAGCAACTGGTCTTCTCTCTAATTCATAAGACTTGAGTAAGTCGCTGCCGGCTTGTCCGTTGATAACAGCGGCAAGCTTCCAACCTAAATCAAAAGCGTCGCCGATGCCCGTGTTCATTCCATAGCCTCCGGTGGGGATGTTTTGATGCGCAGCGTCTCCAGCGACGTGAACGCGCTGACTGGGACTGCTCCAATTGCGCGCAACAGCTATATGAGGTTGCCAGGTGGAGCGAACGAGGATTTGGTCAATCTCGATAGGGTACTTCCCATGGATACCACCTAAAACTCTATATACAGCCTCATGGGATTCAATTTTTTCCGGTTCTACATCCAGTGGTAGAAACAGATGAGTTGTCCACGTATCAACCTCGTCTTGGGATATGATAGCTCCCCCAAAACCGCCATGCTCTGCCAGCAGGAAAATATGCCAGAACTGGCCTTGCTTGTGAAGACGGGTGAGGTCACGAGATTTGAAATGAACGAGCAGAACGCACGTTGGGCTGAGATCCAGTCAGTGGAATAAGATCACCCTTTGCGCTCAGGCAGACTTACACTGGTCCACCATCCAACGGAAACCCAAGAGATCTTCGGACTCTACTTGAGGCCCCGTCGCAGCCTGCTAGATAGTCCGAGACGTAGACCGAAGATTTGCCCGTGTCAGCATTCGTAACTGTCGTTTTGATATGGTCCTCTTGTTCCTGGACAGATTCAACCTTCCAGCCATATCGAAGATCGATTAAAGGATCTTGGTCACAAATTGCCTTCAACCACTTCTCGAATACTGCCTGAGAGAGTCTCTGATAGGGTTCCAGCGGCAGCGTTCCATCATTGTTTTCTTGAATGCGTTGACGAAATCTTTCAACCCCAGGAAGGTCCCATCTTGTTATAGCTTCCTTGCTAGAAAGGCCGGAAGATACCAGTACAGGCTGGTCGATATTGGGGAGTACACCCTGCCGTCGCAGGTCATCGGCGAGACCTAGTTTGCGGAATAGTTCCATGGAGCGCCCATTTGTGAGGTCCATTTTGGGCCAGCTGGTAGTGGTCTTGTTTCGCTCAAATAGAACGGATTTGACGCCATAGTATGAGAGTACTCTTGCCAGAATCAGACCGACTGGGCCGCCTCCTGCAATCAGAACTGTGCCTTTGGGCAAAATATGCGATTCTTGCTGCGTGGTGCCGTTGGTGCCGTTTGATTGAGCCATTTCTTAGCCTGTCTTGACTGCTCCAACTGCTTGTGGCCGGGGAGTGGGTACGGGATTTGGGGGGGGGGGGGGGGCCGGGGCAGAGCAATTAAGAAAATCCGCTGAGGCAGAAGATGACCAAATCCAAAATCTAGAACGAGGCAGAAGTCATCCAACAGTGAAGTCCTTTTGATGGATGCTGAGAGACGGCTTCGGCTTCGGCTTCAGAGGCTATATTCTGTTAGTGCTTTTGTTCACTGAAAAGCTCGGAGAAGGATACTCCAGACAATTCGGAAACTCACTCTGTAGGTGAGCAGTTCTGGGACAATGCCAAGGTCTCATTCCGAGCGGCTCAGCTCGCCGATGGCTGCCCCTTTCGGTCGGAAGTTCGGCCCGAGAGAGAGGCAGAGGCGTCAATGGTGCTTCAGCGTTTGATTTCAATTCGCTTGAATGGAAGCACTGTGGACCGTTCGCGACGACGAGTCATTCCAGCCTGCCTGTGCTCGCCAAGGCACTCCACGCGCTCAGTCCCCGTCTCCGCTCAACCCCAACCCACAAGTCTCCCCGCACGGGGTAAAAACCTCACCAACACTCTATGCACCAGCTCACCATTTCCAACACTTTGACAATCGCATGGGAGCCTGATCATGACGCTCCCATCAGAAACACCGCTCAGTTCCGCCCTTTCGCAATCTCAGCCGACGCAAAATCCACGAACAAAGCGTTCGGTCGCATGCAACTTCTGTAGGGCCAAGAAAATCCGCTGTAAGCTGCCACAATCACGAAGCTGAAGGCAGTTGACTAATCCTCTATATAGGCAATGGCGACGACCACAGCCCGTGTGCAAACTGCCTTGATCGAAACCAACCTTGCATATCATCGAGTTCACGTCGTTGGCGCAACAAGGACCGAGGCAGTGGAAACAATGACGTAGCAGAGAGACTGGCTCTCGTCGAAGCACTGCTCAAGCAACGACCTTCTACAGTAAGTGGTATTTCGATGTGTTGATCTTCTATCGCTCCTAATATTTTCAGCCTGCCACCGCAAATCTCAACCCGTCGCACGACCCTATAAACTCGTGGAGCAATAATCTCGCCAATATGCTGCCTAGAGCGACTGATCAAGAGCCACTGAACCAGTTACAGATTCCACCTTCGCCTTATACGTCCGAGAACAACAGTGCAGAAAGTCAGCGTGAGAATCTGTCCTGCCCTACGCCCTCAAATCCACAGCGAAAGCCTAGCCTTCCTGGGGCTGCGAACCCCGTCTCACTAGTTCAAACAAGCTCTGCGCAAAATGACACGACTTCTTCAACCTTTGATTGCGATCCTAAATATGTAGCTTTCACCACTTTCGACCGTTCTGAAATTCCGGGGTACGGGGAGAGTACCCCTGAGGAAATCCGCGAGAGGAGCAGTATCTCGTCGAGTGAAACAGTAGGTCATTCCGTAAAAGCTCTTAGTTTTATGTTGTTCATTCACTGACTGAGGCTGGGAAGTCCAATTGGGAATATCATGGTATGGACCAGTCATGTGAGAGGATTTTTACCCATGCTCATTGGTTTTAGGCCCAAGATCATTCTTGTCGATTTGTTCAAAACCGGGAATTCAGTGGGTCGGAAGAAAGACAGGAAGCTCGAGCTTCAATGAATCGGCTACGACCTTTACCACATACATAACCCGTCGCCTGAAAATTGAAAGGAGAATGTCGACGGTGCGAGCACCAGAGCCAGACCCGGAAGCTGCCTGGAGGTACACTCGAGGTAACATCCAAAACTCAACCTTGAGCGTTCTCAACATCGGCTGATGTGATTCTTACCAGCGTACTTTGATGAGGGACTCGATTCTGCCCTAGGCATTGTGCACCGGCCGTGGTTTGAAGCGCAACTCAAAAGTTATTTTAATGGTACTATCAACGATAGTGATCCAGCTTGGTATGCCTTGCGTAACGCTATCTACGCTTCTGGATGTCGGATCAAGCTTTCAAAGTATAAGTCCTTCTTCGAGGCTAATCAAACGGCATGGGGATGGTTTGAAAACGCCCTGGCCGCACATACCGAAATTTTATACTTTCGAACGTCAATCCTTGGCGTACAAGCATTAACATTAATGGTGAGAGGAGTCGTTGAACAAGTTAGGAGAAGATGCCGAATTGACATGATATAGGCCTACTACTCCCAAAATATCGGCAGTCCTTGTCTTGAGTATATACTTTGTACCAACGCCTTGCGACTGGCTGTGGCTAAGGGGCTTCATCGACAAGCGGTATCATCATGGAACTTGACTGAGCACGAAAACACCCTCAGAAGCTGTCTATTTTGGGCTGCATATTGTCTAGAGAAGCAGATAGTTTGCCAATCTGGGCGCCATTCGGTTTGTCCAACCCTTAAGCACACTGAGAATTATGCTGATTCTACTTCCAGCTCATTGACGATGACGACGTCAATTGCCAAGTACCTACACAAGTTCCTCCCGGCAGCACCATGAACCTCCAATACTTCAGTATTTTGATAAGACTGGCTCGATTATCATCGCTGGTGTCCAAAAGACTCTCTACTATTCGAGCTTATCAGCAGGGTGCCGAGCTTTTGGTCAGATCGGTCGCTGAGTTGGACGAACAACTCAATGTTCTCAAGCGATCAGTAGACCCTATCCTTGTCCTCGATTCTCCTATCAAACTTAACCGACCGCCGGCCGGAATGACCCTTCAACAGCTCATGTATCTCCGATACGGCTTTTTCAACGTAACGCTCGATATCCATACTGCCCTGACTTACCCCTGGAGTCGGGGCATGCTTGGCTTGACCCCCCATGTTGCGCTTCGCAATCAGGTAGAGAAATCTACTCAGATGGTGGCCGAAACTTGCCGCAACGCCATCCTAGCAACTGAACACATACACTTCGACGCTAGCACTCCTGTTCCGTGAGTCTAATGATTTTCGTGACGCACTAAATGCTGACAAGTACTTCCAGGCTGAGCTTTTTCGGGCCGATCTATGCTCTTATCAACCTCTTTATCTATATTCTACAAACTCCTCAACAGCCTCGTATTCAGTCAGACCTCGCGCTGATGGACGTGGGCGCTGGACACTTCGCCCGGATGCAATTTGCAACAGATTCAGAAATTTCCTTCAGCTTTGCGAAAGAGATGGCCGCGCTGGCCCATGAAGCTGTAGAAAAGGCGTCTCGACGCTATGCAGGCAACGATAGCGTCAGTACTGAGGCAGACCTCTCTCGATTCCCACAAGACATGTCTGATACAATGACGGATCGGAATGTCCTGGGGGAAGATCTACAATCTGATGATCCCACCGCCGTGAGTTCCCCTAGGCCTGCCTTGCTTGGTGTGGCAGCTTTCAAAAGTCTACTTGGAGATTGGGCTGCTGACTTTGCTGTCTTTTTCAGGGCTACGCGAACTCTTTTTTTGATCTCGAATTGGAAAACTGGAGTACATTTCTTCCTGGTGGCTTTGACGACAACATGATGGATTTTTCGGTCATCTAACTTTGTCTACTAGTATTGCAAACTTTGGCAATTCTGCCACCTGGCCCATGCCAATTGAGGTGCTGAGAGAGTCCAAAGCCATTGTCGAGGTTATCAGAATTGATCTCGTTGTCTTTTTCTTCCCAGCCAGAAGACAAACCACTCCTCCACCCCCGGCTGAAACAAGACGACTTTCACGGGTCTAGGATAACAGGGTTCAGCTGATTTCTGCCGCATGTGCTCTATGGTATCAGTGAATAACATGTTATGTATGAACATTGTGACAACCTTCATTTTGTGAACGTCTACATCAATCTAATCCTCTGGGAAATAGGGTGTGGCCAATCTTTCCATAAATTCATGATGCTGTGTATGCCGAATTGTATGTCAAAGCGTCCTATATATCCGGCTTCGTGGAAATTGTGGGTCAGGCTGTGTGTCTGCTGGCGAGGATCTTCCAATCTACAACGGTTCAAAGAAACCGGCCGGCTGAACAGCCATTTTCTCTGTACAAGTCCACCAATCTCGCCTTCAAGCAAGGCTAGTATCATTCCCAGCACTCATGATTTTGACGTGATACGCCCAAAGACCCGAACAAAAACGTTCGAAAGCCATTCTTCTGCGTTCACCATGTCTTGCTACAATGCTGGAAGCCAGCTTCAGGGCATACCCTCTTTTGGGGGAGGGGCCGCCTGCACCATTACGGATTTTGGTCTACGTATTTTGACTTCTTGAAACGGCACCAAGGCCCCCTAGGCAAAACATTTTTCTAGCTCAGTTACTAATGCAGACTCTTGGATCAAGGATCTGAGACCGGACGCAGGCCGAAAGGTGCCTGATTTCTACGACATTTGAGAAGCAATGTCTTATATCATTTGCCACGGCCGAAATGTGTGGCTGGCTCGTCACTTTGGTATGACTAGGACCTATGTCCGACAGATCGCTGCCCCTGCTTTCCGTTCTGGACCAAGATATCTCAGGAGCCCCTTGTTGACAAGCCCCTGCCTGCGATTGAGCAACACCCAACAGTAAGCGATGGAGGCGACGTCGACCATTATTCAAAGTCCAATTTGGCGAGTCCCTCTTCATCCACCCTTTTTAAGTCAGTTTAGAAATCCCAGTCCATCAAGCCCGGTCTGACGAACCAAGAAACTCCTTTCCTTCACACATCAATCTTCTCAGGCATCCACGTGCTTAAAGCCATTCCTTCAGGCATCTTCTTCCATTGCTTCGTTTCCGGGTCAAGCAGGTCCTGACAGTCGCGCCAGGCTTCGCGTATGATCTTGACTTTTCCTGGAGACCTGGGTTCGAAGACGGCCTTGAAGTCTCGAGGTTGCACTGTGATGTTGCCGACGAGGTCGTCAATGTCAGGTGTGATGGGAACGCCGTTCTTGTCCAGCGGTTTGGATAGGTTGAATCCCCAAAGGAGTCTGGAAATGCCTAGGAACATGGAGCGCTCGGCGATGTGGATGCCCTGACAAAGACGACGACCGGCGCCGAAGTTGAAGTTGTCGCGCTTGGCTGGATCGCCGTTCGCGGACTGGTACAAGGTCGTGAAGTCGTCTTTGAAGCGGTCCGGGTTGAACCGACGCGGCTCAGGGCAGCGGTTGGGGTCCATGTGAATTGCCCTGTATGCAGAGGTTAGCACGGTGGAAATATATCAACGAAAATAGAGGATAGACGTACCAGACATTATTGATGACTGTCGAACCCTTTGGAATGATATAGTCGCCATAGGTATCATCCTTCATCGCTGCATGAGGCACTCCCAGAATCACAGTCGGCATCCATCTCAAACTCTCCTTGATACAGCATCGGATATAATGCAGCTCATCATAATCGTCGATTGTAGGGAGGCGATCATGTCCGACCACACGGTCAATCTCTGCCTGTGCCTTTTTCTGAACTTCAGGCCACACGATCATGGCCTGGATGAATCCGTACAGAGTCGAGGATGTGGTGTCTGATCCGGCTTCTAGGAGAGAACCACTCATGTAGCCTGCGGCGTCATCCGTGAACTTCTCTGTCTGCTGTACTCGCAGGACATCGTTACAGAAACACGGCTGAAATGAACGACATTAGTAGATATTCGGGCAGCGGCTCATCATCGAGTAAGATTGGATAGAGGTAGAAGTGGCTCTTACCAAACCAGTGCCATTCTCAAGTCCCCGTTTCGCCCGTAACCAATGACCCACGTAGAGTTTTCTCTCGATTTGGTGTAAATGTTCAGCATACCTGACATTCGGTGCAATAGCTTTGGGAAGCTTCTGAAGAATAGGATAGAGGTCGACCAATTGGGCGCTGCTGCTTCCGGCCAATTCACCCCAGTGATCGAAACTCTGGAGGGAGAGGTTAGTCCATCTTCGTCAAGTTGTGGAAAGCACGCAGAGCTAAAAGGGCCAGGCTTCTGTACGCACCCAAAACAACTGCTGTATGTACGGGTCATTGATATCCGGGCAGCGGAACCCGAAAATCATCTGTGTGGACAATGAATAGCTAAACCTGCGGATGTGATTAAGAAATTCATCAGGTTTGTCCAACAAGCCATCCAAGAACATCTTGTTTTCAAGGTCCTGGTATGGCACATAGGTCACGGCAGCCTTGATATTGAGAATGTTGTGGACCATTTTGTGGATCATGCGCCAGTTGTCGCCATATCTCTGTACCAACTGTCAACGTCCAACACAGCCGAGATAGGTGATCAGGCTTGCGTACCATTACCACCAGTCGCAATCCACCACTGGCAATCCTTTGAGCAATGAACATGTCGGGACGATCAGAGTAGATGGCACTCTTCTTGTCCAGCAAATCCTTGACGGCCTGGTCGGAAGAAAGGACAATCATGATCTTTGTCCCGAGGATCAAAGAGTAAATTGGTCTGACAGGACGCAATGCTATTAGAACGCACGATTCGTCCAGGGAGGCATAGGGCTTATGGTCTCGTTTTGGTGTTGGTAGAAGAGGTTACTTACCCGTATTCCTGGGCCCATTTCTGGAACTGGAGATGTGGGTTCTTCGTTGGCATCTTTATGGCGAGTGTTCGTCAGTGCCGGAATTCTCCCAGTTGATCTAATGCGCTGAAGATGTTGCTCACTTGATGAAGATTCCCCAGTATGGGGATGGTAGGAGGTCCTGGTGGCAGACCTGGGGCTCTCTTGCCCACTTTCAAGATATTGACAAGGACGAATATGACTGTCCCCACAAGCAGAGGGACAGCCCAAAAAGACACAGAGATTGCTGGAGACATTGTGATGAGATTAGTCCCAGAATGGTGAAGTTGTACTTTGGCCGGATATCAGTATCAAACGCAGGGTCATCTGTGTTTGCAGTGTCCTCGTGTCTCTGGTGCTGAGCAGGCTGATGATAGACTGTCGACTAAGCTAGCCATAAATAGGATTGGAATTTGCGGAGCTCGGTTCCCCCCTCCGACATTGCGGGCACCTGCGGAGGGGTGGTATGATTAGACATCTTACAACAAAAAGAGGTTTAGGCTTCGGGGCACAAGCCGCCGAAATTCCATTGCCACTACTCCGACTGGCTGTTGCCATGCACATCATAGCCGAACCGAAGTGACACGGGAAGGGACCAAGGAGCGCAATGCGACGCCACGACGAAGCTATCGTTTTGCTAAAGCCCGAACAAAAGAAATCCACAAGTCAAAGAGATCGTGTGTCGTCAGCTCTACACAGATTAGATTCTCGTCACACCACCTCTACACTTTAAAATGGAGGCAATCGACAGATGACATTGACGATTACTTTCGATAACGCCGGACTGGCAGTGATGAAACCCCAAAAGCTCGCACACGTAGTCTTGAAAATGAAGGCCGAGAAGTTCCAGGCCATGGTGGACTTCCACAGGACCTTCTTGGGTGCTGAAGCTAGCTATGAGAACGCATTTTTGTCCTTCCTCACTTATGACGATGAGCACCATCGTAGTAGCCATTATTGGAATCCCCCCCGGCGTCAAAGACAGAATCTCTGAATCGGCCGGGCTTGCTCATACCGCCTTTACTTTCGACACTCTACGAGATCTAGCTCTGGCATATCGCCAGAGGAAAGCCCACTGTATTCTACCTTTTCGGTCTGTCAACCATGGTCCTACCGCGAGTATGTACTACCGAGACCTGGATGGAAACGGGATATAGGTGGACACTAATGAGGATGCGATCGCCTTTAAGGTGTCTCAACAATTTGCGGATAATCCCATTGGCGTTGACTTCGATCCCGAAGATTTGATCTGTAGGCTCGAATCGGGAGAAGATGAGAAGAGCATTAAGAAGAGGCCTAAGATTGGGAAGAGGACAGATACTCCATTCTAGAGACTTCATGTTTCATTTCAGCGCCCGAACAACTATGTATTTTCATCTACAAAAGCAGAGGAAAAAGCTCGTGGTACTAGTCTGACGAAGTTAACCTGTATATACTTCTCAGCCACGATGCAACAGTATCAGGAAAGACGTTGAACGAATTTGATATGCGTCGCCCCCGCATCCCTCCTTGATCATTTCCAGGATAATATCGCGGTCTCACGTACTTGTATTCATGGGAAATGGTCCACAAGCCGAACCACGCCTGAGACATGTGACCTTGGCGCCTAACCAGAACTCGACCGGGAAGGGCAAGTAAACCGGCTTTCTCGAACCTTCACGGCCAGTCAAAAAGCAAACAAGGGCCCTCATCATAAAAATTGCTTGAATCAACACACCGCTCTTTTCCCTCTTCTATGCCATGTCTGCCAACTTTTCTTGTCTTGTCCGTTTCAAGGACCCCGGTGGTCAAATTCACTATGGCGATGTTGCAAACACCATAGATCTCGTGGGGCAGACTGCCACCATTCTGGAAGGGGACGACCCATGGAATCTCAAACCTGGATCCCAAAAAGCACAGATCGCAGAGGTTCTCTGCCCTCTGGAAAGTGTCCCGCTCATCTATGGAATCGGACTCAATTACAAGAAACACATAGAAGAGTCTTCGTTTCCTTCCGACATACTGAAAACGAGTACATAATTCATTCTGCCTAAGTTTCAATCGTAACAATATTTCGAAACGAATGACCACCAGTCCGCTGATATGATGCAGCACAGCAATACGCTATCCTGAAATGTCTCCACCATGTCAACCTCGGGTGCATTTCTCGATGATTGTATGCTAAAAGAAATCAGGTAAGCCGCGAGGGCCAATTTCCACTCTCTTTTTAAGATCCGACTCGTGCTCCCCATTCGACAAGCGCTTGATATGATCCTCTGGGTCAAAGTCCGTACCGACAGGGTTTTCCGAGAAGAACTTCGATTTCATAAATTTCGTTGCATCGTCAGGGTTATCAAAGTTGTCAGCCTGGGTCTCGATCATATTGCCGTCGGGATCTTTGTAATAGATGGAGGTGGTTGGTCCGTGATTGACAGGCCAGAGGGGTAAGATACCCTTCTGCTTCCGCTGGCGATATGCCAGCAGGAGGTCCGCAATGGTGGAAAATGCGAATGCAAGATGTTCAAGTCCACAGGTCATCTTGTCCTTTCCCTTGGTGCCAGGGACCGCCGCGATAGCGACCCGATGATGCTCTTCGTCGTATGTGAGGAAGGCCAGAAAGTCGCTCTCGTAGATTACATCTGCGCCGAGGAAGTCTTTATAAAATTCAACCATTTTTGCAAAATTGTTGGTTCGAAGGACCACATGAGCGAGCTTAGTTGGGGGGATAACCCGCCTTGCTGGGGCCTCAAAGTCCACGGTCATTGTTGCGACGTTGAAGTTTGGATGTGTATATGATTGAGTGGAAGTTATTGAATCACAGTTATGGCAAGAGAGAACGTGTCCTACAGGATCCTATGTATACAGTCGAAAGTTGGGGCAGGAAGAAACGGCAAGCCTGGGTTGTTGACCGCGCCCAGGCTGAGCTGTGCTGATACATGTCAACCAAATTTTTTTCATTTGGCCCAACTTTGAACTTTCGCCTCGGAACTGGTCTAACTTGCTCCAACCGAAACTGGCTGATCAGAGTCCCTGGCGACTACGGTCCGGGACCACGCGCCGGCGAAAATAGCGGAGATACCGGATCACGTGAACGCTAACTGTATTTGGCGTCAAAGGATTTCATTACCGGTTTAATTCTGTCTTGGGTTATTCGGCGACTCGGGGTCGGAGCTGGCAGCCCGAAAATATCGTTTCAGGCATCTTATAAGTGCATTTCAAAACACCGTCATAGATACATCAAACACGGCCTTCGTGTTGTCCATTTTTGCGACGTTCTTTATCATTACGCCTAGGATTTCGTCTAGCCATGGAGCAAAGTCGCATTTCTATTGTTGTCGCCTGCATTACCTTCGTCTTAATTGTCGGTCGGATCCTTCGTCTTGGTAGGAGGCCGCCGAATTTCCCGCCTGGGCCGCCGACCTTGCCTATCATTGGGAACATTCATGTAGTATGTTTTCTCCGCTTGCACGTGCTCGGCTTTCTTGACCTCTGGCGCGTTTCAGCTACCCCAAAAGGATGCCCATGTGCAATTCAACAAATGGGCAAAGGGGTATGGGCCTATCTTCAGTCTCATAGTTGGCACGCAGACATTCATCGTCTTGTCGAGTGATGTGGTTGTGAAGGATCTTCTCGATAAGCGAGGCGCTATCTACAGCGACCGTATGGATGCATATCTTGCAAAGTTGTGTAGCGAGGATCACCACATGTTGACAATGGTAACGTCAAAACCAGAGTCTGGCACATACGATGTACTGACTGTCCTCACAGGGCTATGGACCTCAATGGCGAATGGTTCGTGAAACCTGAACATCCGGTTGAGTCTAACGTATAAAGATACGCCAACTGATCTCATGGACAGGCTCGAAAGTTGCTGAACAGCCTCCTCAACGTCAACGTCGCCAGGTCGTATGTCCGTTACCAGATGTTGGAAAATAAGCAAATGATGTACGAGCTACTGGAGCAACCTGACAGCTTCCTGGCCAGCCTTCAACGATATGCCAATTCTCTGTCAACAAGCATGGTCTACGGGCGTCGTACACCACAGCTCGAGGATCCATTGATGAAAGAAATTCTGCACGGTTTGGAAGAGTTTAGCGAGATCGCTGCATCCTTCCAGGCGGCTCTCCTTGATTGCTACCCTGTGTTGCGACGGCTACCCGACTTCATTGTCCCGAGAAAGGCCCAGGCTTGAAGACTTTATCGCAAGGTATCGAGCAATTACGTGGCGCTGTACAACAGAATCAAGAGCGACATGAAGGTTGGCAAAGCCAGGCCTTGTCTGTGTGTGGATATGTCGAAGGTTCAAGAGAAGGAAGGATTCAGCGACACCACTGCTAGCTACCTTGCAGGAAACCTGATCGAAGCTGGTACCGAAACGACCTCGAGTACATTGTACGCATTCATCCAAGCCATGGTGATCTTTCCCGAGGTAATGAAAAAAGCGCAAGAGGAGGTTGACCGTGTCGTTGGTCCTGACCGGCTGCCAACAATGGACGACGAACCTAATCTCCAATACATCCGTGCGTGCGTCAAGGAATCTCTGCGCTGGATGCCCCCCGCCATCACAGGAGCAATACCACACTGCGTGATACAAGATGACGAATACCGGGGTTACAAGATCCCCAAGGGCGCAGCCATCATCCACAACGTCTACTCGATCAACATGGACCCGGCGCGCTATCCTGACCCTCGTCGCTTCGAACCCGACAGATACAAGGATGACTTTCAGAACGCTTCAGACGCTGCAACGGCATCAGACGTTTCGAAGCGTGATCACTTCACCTTTGGCACCGGGCGTAGGCTTTGCCAAGGTATACACGTGGCTGAACGGAGCCTCTTCCTCGGGATCTCCCGCTTGGTGTGGGCTTTCGATGTTAATCCGGCCGCTGATTCAGACGGGCGACTTATTATCCCAGACACGGATAGCTATACGTCTGGCTTTGTTGTGATGCCCACCCCTTTCAAAGCGCGGTTGACCCCGAGGTCAGAGAAGAGAGCAGGACTTATCCGGGTGGAATGGAAGCAGGCTGAAGAGGAGCTGCTGGATCCGGTCACCAAACAGTGGAAAGCGTAAGACAGTCTGCCGCTAAGTCTCAAAATGTCAGTCGACGGGAAGAGAATTCATCTTAGTTCTACAATAGTAACTTGGTTTACTTTCTCGCTCTCTGTTGGTCCATCGAATGTGAACAGGATTAGACGATATGGAAAGAAAGCTAACCGAAGGTCGTCTGGATTGATCGATAATGCGCTTATCTAGGCAATAGAAAGACCAAGACAGCTAGTTCTAGTGATAAAAGTTCATATTGATTAGGGAACTCTGGGTTGGTGTACGTGCTTGCTTGGATCGTAGCGTTTCATTCTGGAGATAAGCTCTGAAGAAGAGCGTCCATCTTGAGGAGCAAATATTGGTGGACGAGATCAAGGTTGGGACGGAAATTGAAGTCCATTAGTGTAGTCCATTGAAAGTGTAAATATGGAGACCATGACTGTTCGCACATCACTTGGACACGCGTTGGCCTCTGGCAGCCCTTCCCAACGAGGAGAACACGGCTATGTAAGAATCGTCCAGAAACTCCCGCTAGTTAGAGCCTCTACAGACTCTGCCTTTCCAGAAAGCAATTGCCACCCAGTTCGAGGTGCGTCCGTCTCACACCCTCCTTTCCTCGTTTCCTACTCATGTGGACGCACCTGCGCCTCGGTATATGCCAGGATCTATGCTAGTAAAGCGTCTCGGACACAGTTTCATCATCACAATGCCGTCTGAGAGCACACGAGAGTAGACTCCCGGTTTCGCGCTGATCCCCTTGGCTTTAGAGACGAGCCACCCCAATCCTGCATTCCCTAGTCAATGCCAGAACGCTTTTGTTGACGTCGTCGCGGACCCAGATATCGGAGGAAAGCTCCGAACTATAATAGCAACTTTCCCGACCCCGCGAGACATTGGATCCTCGGGTCAAAAACTCCCAGTTGAAAGTTTAACTTAAGCACCTAGGTCTTGGCACCCACCATGACTTGGACAGCTGCAGCCAGATACAATTACGTACGTGCTGCTCTGGTGGCTACAAGCTTTAATAGATGATGTACCAAGGGTGTGAGGACGACTCGGGAGTCGGGACAGCGGGCTTGGCAGCGGGTTTCGTACACAGCGGGTGGGTCCTGAGTGTGCCAAGTTGAAGTTGCTCCCACCAAATTTAGGTGGTGCGAGATTCTTGCACGCACACAAATTCAAGGACTCGAAAAGGTTTTACGCGGACCTTACTGTCGCTCAAATTGACGTCGTCGTCGCTTATTTTATATAGAAAGCCTTGGTGTTGAGGGCTCTGACTAAACAAATTACTCCAAATGTCTTCCATTCAGCCTACCGCTTGGAGAGCGCCGCCTAGGTGCCCATCCTACCTCATTCCTGCTCTTGAGCGCTACGTCAATGCGTATCCTTCTGTTTATCTGCTTCCTCCTTAGTCTGGCGAAGTATTTAATGCTATAGAGGAAGGTGAGCGCCGTCTTATTACCTTTGTAATATCTCAGGGGTTCGATATCATAAAGATAGGTACTAGGTCTAAGGATTGGCCATCTAATCCACCGAAGCAAAAAGAAGGCCAAGATAAGAGAGATTCATTATATACTAAGGTACTTATTGAACTCAGCGCTTATAGCCTTATCCCGTAACCCTATAGCCTCGTCCGCCAACACCTCTTCCTGTATTAACGACTCCTCCTCGAGCGGCGCCAGTAGAGACTCCTCCTTCCTTTCGCCGCCTACCGCTACGCACTCCTAAGAAGCCTAGACCTCGCCGTAATCCCTCGCCAGAGGGCTCTCCTATCGCTATAGAGTTATTAGCGTCAATATCTCCTATATACCTTAGTGGAGAAGGCACAGGCAAGAGAAAGAGGCATCATACTGCAAGATACCAGGAATCACGTGCACAAAGCCTCATTCACGAGTCTCAAGAGGCCTACAGAGGGAAGTGAGCGACAGCGGGGTGGCGGCGACGAGGTATCTAGCGACGGCGAGGTCATCTCTTACAGATAGAGAATGGTAATAATAAAGAGCTCTTCATAGGCTAAATCCTCATATAAACGTGCTCACACCGACTATTGGTAGACCCACCCCCTGCCAAGCCCGCCGTCCCGAGTCGTTCTCAAGGGTATGATGGTTCTAGGAGCGGACTTTCAAAGAGTAAACGCCACTCTCTGTAGCTCTGCCTAATGTCAAACAAAGATTAAAGGGTCTCACGATAAGTGTCCCAACTTCATATTCTTGTTGATCGATTAAAATGATTCCTCTCTGCAAAGTTACAGAGGATGTCTCTTTAGGAGACTGCCAACAAAGATGCTTCGGCGCGCAGCACTGGATTCATCGTCGCCTTTTGATTGTCGGAACGGCACCAGCGGCCAAGGGACTAGGGGAGATGGAGCAACATTCAGTTGGCGTGTCACAGACCCCGTGGTGTCCCTTCCCCAGTCGACGATGCGCCTGCCTGGTGTTTGGACATTCTCCCCAAAAAGTCGTGGCGCAGATCCATATGCACCAAGCATAAAAATGCGGGGTGGATAATAATTTCATTTAAATGTAATTCAGTTTTTTTATTGTTTAGTTATTTTAAATCTATTTCATTAATAAAAAAATATTAATAATTATTATATATATATATTTATATGATGGATTATTAACTAGTCGCTGGTGCCACCTTGCCGTCGCAGAATTCGGTGTGATATCCCCGGATCCGAGGCCGGAGGGGGACCTGTTTTGCACGGCCATCGCGCTAGGGATCAAGGCACCGAACCCCATCGGTCGAAAAAGGATGTTGCCACCGGGGTTGAGATTGCTCAACGGGGGATCACCCACGGGGAGACGGACCACCTACAGTCCTGCTCCGCAGTGAACTAAGTAGCCTTCCGGATTGTATTCGTTGGGATATCGAGGTAAGCAGCCCAATCCTTCAATGGCGAAGTGATTCGCCCCGTCAAACCGACTCGAGCATCGTGAATGCTGTCGAGAATGTATCGCAGTAAGTTGAGCCGTGCTGGCCGAATCAAACTCCGGGACACTTCCCCACGAGATTGCCCGAATCAATTCGCCGGCCTTGGGAACTCCTCAGTGAAATTACTCTTACCGACAGAGGATCTTCTATCTTCCACGCCAACTCTGGTTAGTAGAGCCTCTTCACTAGCCATCAAGTCTTCCCCGAGCCCGATACACATCGGTGTCCAAGCTTGGAGTGATCGGAGAGATAAACAAGGCCATCGGCTGTCCTGAGAACGCCAAATCCATTCAATCTTTTATTGTCCCAGACCCAAAGTCTCATTTGACAATTGCAACGTCAGTACCTCATTCAAATCAACCTAACCACGAGCGCCATCATGGAGTCGAAGGTCATTATTGAATCACGGTTCGAGGATAAGGAGAAATTGGACCTGGAGACCACAACTTCCACGAACCCGTCGCCGAAAAGTCCAACAGCATACCTGTCGATCACGGTACGTGTTCCCTCCCGTCAAGAGGGTGGTCAAACACTGATGGAGTCTCTCACTCCTTAGAGTATCGTTATCGGCTACATCGCCGCCCTAGAGATCGCATCTCTCCCACCTGTGATTCAGGCCACTACCAACACAAGGCTGGGTAAGTGGATCATGTCCGTGGATACAGCTGTACTGAATCAGGAGCCAGGGTTGAGGTCATACTACTGGTGGATCGCACTTGCGGAAATTGCGACCAGCGTTTTTGCCTGGAGCGTCGCTGGTAAGGCTTCCATTATTTGTCCTGTGTCTAGTCTTGCCTTTGTCGAACGAAGCCTAACTGGTCTCCTTGAACAGGGAGTCTGGGCGATCAGTACGGCAGAAGGAACATTCTGGCTGTGGGCAATTTGATTGCACTGATCGGAGCAATTGTTGGCGCCACTGCGCACTCTGTCTGGGTTGTTGTACTTGGCCAGGCTATCTTAGGATTGGGAGCAGGTTGTCAATTCCAGGCGGTGGCGATCATATCCGAAATCTTTCGGCATAAACACAGGTCGCTGGTTCAAGGTGAACACGCCTCCCCCTCACAGATGGAGGAACAGACTCTCACAATGTTGCGGCGCGGCAGGATTGCTGACAATCTCCCCCTTCCCCTTTATTGCCTGCGGGCAGTTGATCGGAACCGCCATGGCAACACATGCCACCTGGCGCTGGGTTTTCTATCTCAATATCGTACTCTCTGGCATTGCCCTTGTCATGACGCTCCTCTTTTACCGACCAGTAAGCGGCCTCCCCTGCACCAACGTTATTTTACTGACGAGATAATCAGCCTGTTGATCGTACACTACGACCCACAACAATTCTGCACATTGACTACGTTGGGATCTTGCTTTATGCCGTACTGAACCTGCCAAACCAGCGTTCGAGGAAGTTGGCTAATCTCTCCCAGCTCTTTCTGGCCGGCGTAGCCCTCTGTTTTGGCTGGACTGGCTTCGGAACCTACGGTTGGGGAAATTCGGCGGTATTGGTGTCATTGTGCCTTGCCTTACTGTTTATTGTTCTTCTTGTTCTCTGGGGTAAGACAGGTCCCCACAAGTGCCATGGAGAGGCGGCTTACATTTCTTGAAACTAGATTTCACAAAGGCCAAGAACCCGATGTGGCCCCCAGTCGTCCTTGGAAACGGTAGAGGGTAAGTATCCGCGACTTGCGTTATCGCCCGGGGCTGCTCACCAACTCTTTTCAGGTTCCTTACAGTCATTGTAGTTGCTACTTTTGAGTCCTTTGCATTATTTTCCATGTCCACTATCTTCACTGGGCAGATATCGGCTCTCTATAGCACAGATCCATACAGAGTTGGCGTCGATGTTCTCCCCTACGGGATTGCAAGCGTGGTTGGCATGCTCGCGGCAGGGCTCTTCATGAGAAAGATACGACATACGAATCTCCAGCTGGCCGTTCTGTGCTTTGTGCTGACCGTCTTCGTTGGCGTTATGGCCACACTGACGCCAAAGTCTGTTAAGTCAGGCCTTGCATTCACTTGTCTCGGAGGGTTCGCTGTTGGATGGATTATGATCCTCCTGGTCGTGATGGTCCAGTTTGGAAGCCCCAACAGGCTTATTGGTACCTCCACAGGTCTGCTGAACTTAGCCCGGACTGTGGGTCAAGCAATGGGAAGTAAGTTTCAAAAAGATGGTGTGTTGTATGGCTGTAACTAACTTAATCACCCATCAGTCGGCTTCTACCAAACTATTATTCGCTCTAGAGTTGGTGCCACGTTAGTGAAAAGGGTGGCGGGAGCGGTACTCCCATTGGGGCTACCGGCTACCTCACTACCAGATTTGCTGATCGCAATCGCAAGTGGAAACCAAGCAGCAATAATGAAAGTGCCCGGAATTAATCTCAAAATAATTGAAGCAGCGGTGCTGGAGACCAAGCTTACATACGCGGCCGCTTTCCGGTCAGTTTCAGCCGTTGCCTTTTCGAATATGACTGACGAAAATTACAGCATCGTTTATTACGTCGGCATGGTCGGGGGAATCATCTCTACTATCTTTGCACTTTTCACCAAGGACGTGACTCCATTCATGATGGGCGCAGAAGGAGAACATTTGGCCGTTGACATTGGAGGCTCAAAGCGACCGTTCCTCCCGCTCTTTCCGAAGGAAAAGCAGGTTCAACGCAAGTGATGGCCTCGGTGGCATTTGACCAACCTTGTGCTTAGCTGGTGAAAAGTATTGGGGCGGCGGAGAACGCTTGTGGTGAAGTGAAGTGCAACGAAGGAAGGCGCGAGATAAACCCTGCCAAAGTGTTGAAGAAAAGGACCTCTGAGCTGAGTTATAAGGGGACAGTACGACAATAGTTAAGTATGATAATAGTCAAGTATTACAAAATTTAAGACAGGCCAGAAGATACATCAAAACCTACTTATTGACCCCTTACTGATAATTATATCGCCGTTAAAGCGGAATTATATGCCATGCTACCTATCCCTCTATACTATTATATAGGACCCTAGTTACGCGACCTAATAGCCATATTACCGTAATATAATATAGCTGTTATGGATTAACAAACTAACTACTTAACTAATAGGCCCAGAATACTGTAGTGATTATCGTAGGATTCTCAGTCTTTTTGAGCGATCCTTAAGGGTTCGGGGCCTATTTATTATGAACCGTTCTTCCTAATACTACTATCGGGGAGAGTACGTATCTAAGGTGAAGTTGTGTCCTATAGGGTGTTAAGGTTCCTACCGGGGCCTAACTAGGTTAGGGTTCCTAGTAACAATCCTTGAATAGTATGAACTAGTTGGAGAGAACACAAGGTATGAATAGTCTATGTCACTAAGAACGGTATAGTTTAGTAGTTAACATGAGTTGGCTACGAAGAGAGTGTAACTATGGGAGGGTAGTGAGCGTAGCTATATACTCGTAAGGGTTTCCCGAACAGGCAACTGAGAATGGTATGTTAATATGTTGATATGGTGGCCATATCAGCATACCAGCATATCGATATATTAATTCTTTTCTTTTTGGGAAGTCACGTGTCGTACGTATTCTTAGCCTTACGTCGTGCTTATAATCTTATTAGGCTACCTCGTTCGGCAGACTTTTCGCTCGTTACCTTACTTTAGGGTCGTATAAAAGGCTATATCTAACATTATTTCTCTTTTACTTTATTCATTATTCTCAACGTACTTAAGGTAGGCCGCGCTCACTCTATTCTTTCTAGTTTTTTCTTCTTTCTCTATTTTTTAATGGCTAACTATATAGTCTTTTCGTATAGTTAAATCTCGTCGTTTTACTAAATCTATGAGAACGTAAAGTAAGCGTCGTATCGAGTTAATCGATTTTATTTCCTTCGATCCCGATAATCTTATAATAGTGGCCTATATCGAATATATTAATCACGGAGTAGTTTATTATTATGATCGGAAGTAATCGTCCTCTTATACCGAGTGTCTACGGCGACAACGAAAGTAAAATAACACTTTTTCGATGAAAGAGTTTCGAAAGATAAAGGAATAAAAGAAATAATTAATTATAAAGTCACGGGTAAAATGAAAAGAGATTACCCGGTTACGTAAGATAATATTAGACGCTCGTCGTATCTTAGCTAAGATCTAGATAGTAGTAATTTCTTCCGAACTAAAGTTAGCCCGGGTGAAGAAAGAAGACTCCGGTCTTTAAGACTCTTTAGCTCGTTTAGAGGACGTATTTAGCCGTATACTATATCGTAAGATATAAGTACTAGAGATTTTCGATTAACTATTTATATTCGAAGAGATGGCTTTAGCTAAGTCTAATTTTATTTAATTCGACGCTTCGAGCGTTGAGTAAATTAACTAAGAGACTATATTAGTTAAAATCACTCCGGGTGGTTCTTCTTTATTTTCTTTAGAAGTTCCTTCGAAAGATTAGTTTCTAGTTCTTAGCTATTTTTATATTCATCGTAATCTAATTCTTTAATTAGATACTACGGGGTGCCACGTATAACGCGTCTTTTAAGAATTTTCTTAACATTATATTTCTCTGGTGTTAGTTTCTTATTTAGCGATAGTATTTTAATTAGTTAAGCGTTCTTTAGTATTAGTTTAAGAAGTACTTTATAAAATATATTATAGATACGTATATATTTCAATAGTTCTAGTCGATATATAACTTCTCTAAGCTTATCTTTAATTCTAAATAGTTCTAGCTTTATATAGTTTAGTTTTCCGCTTAGTCGTTTCGTTTTAATATTTTTTCGTAAAAGGTAGACGGGATTTCTCTTCTCTAAAAGCGGTCTCTCGATTCGTTTCTTATTTACGTATTTTACTATTCTTTCTATGAGAAATCTATTCGAAGGACTTAGAGAACTATCTAATGTATAGATAGTAAGGCTCATATAGATCGTAAACCTTATAGGTAGGTAAGTAACTATTAAAGAACTTGAAGATAACTATCTACCTAGGGAGGGTAAAGGTCTTTATATAGACAATAAGTGTCCACAGTTAAGACCCTTAAAATGTTGATTTCAAATCAACATTAGTAAGTACGACTAATCATTTAATAGAGTGCGGAATTAATATCGCACTAGTCACGTGATTTCATAGACTCTAGGTCTAAATACGAACTTAAACTTCGTATTTAATCACGTGACTAAAGATTTAATATAAACCTTTAGAGAGCGATATTCCACACACCCCCTTAAGCTAAATATAGCTATTTTTAGCTATATTTTAGCTTATATTCGAAATATCGTTATTTCGATTGATTTTTATAGACTTGTTGAATAGTCTATAGATATCTAGGGCTCTTTACTAGCCTAGGTTTCGTAAGCCTATTTCTTCAATAAAGGCGATCCATTTTTCAGTTGTTATAGACTTAGTTAAACCATCGGCCAGTTAACCCTTTATAGGTGTCCATATAAGCTTAGTTAGCTTATTTTGAATGCTTTCGCGTACATAGTGATATTATATATTAATATACTTAGTCCTAGCGTGATATACGGAGTTTTTCGCTAGTTCTATAGCCGAGTTTAAGTCAGTATATATATTTAGACATTCTATAGCGAGATTAGATTATAATAGTTCTTTTATCTCGCTTAGTAGTGCCTTAATATACTGTTATTCTTTTATAGTCTCTTTTAGGGCCATATATTCGGCTTCGTAAGAACTTAGCGCCACTATACGCTGTAATTTTAAATTCTAGGATAGAGGAGTGCCGCGGAAGATAAATAGATAACTAGTAGTAGACCTTCTAGTACCTATATTACCTCCCTAATCTAAATCTATATAGCATTTAATACTAGTAGATATAGATTAATAGAATAGACCTAGATCTTTTATTTTAGATAGGTATTCCTAGATTCTTTTAAGTACTTTAAAGTGTCTAGGACTAGGATTAGATATATACCTAGCTAAATAGCCTACTGGGTAGGCTAGGTCTAGTTTAGTCTTCGTAGTAAGATATATAAGGGCTCCTATTTACTATTAGAACTCCTTTATATCTTTAGGTTTTGCGTCTCCTTCTATAGGCTTAAATTTTAAGCCTATTAGAATAGAACTAGCGAGTTTTATAGGCCTTTTATCTTTTAGCTATTTATTAAGTATTTTTTTAATATATTGGCCTTAGCTTAAAGATAAGGTCTTATCCTCGCGATTTCTAGTTATTTTAATGCCTAGAAATTCATCTATATCTCCTAGATTCCTTATTTCTATAGATCTAGATAGATCTTTAAATAAGGAGTTAATCTTTGCTTTTTCTGGAGATATAATGATGATATCGTCGATATAGGCCATTAAGATAACCGTTTGGTCGATATTCGAGTAGATAGATTGATCTATCTTTAGTGGGAATAGACCTAGATCTCGTAAGAGACTTTTTAGGTAGATTTCCCATTCTCTACCTAATTATTTAAGCCCATATAAAGCTTTTAATAATAGACATACCCTATTAGGGTGTTTTAGGTCTTCCTAACCTAATGGTTGCTATATATAGACCTTTTCTTATAAATAGGCGTTAATAAAGGCGTTCTTAACGTCCCATTATTGTATTTCGAGGTCTAGATAGGCGGCTATAGCTAGAAGTAGTCTCCAAGCTATAGGATTAACTATATTTACAAAGGTTTCGTCATAATCGATCCCATATCGTTGTTGAAAACCTCTAGCTATCTATCTAGCCTTATAGATAGGATTTCGATTAGGATCCTTTATTTTAAGGACCCATTTTCCATCTAAAACCTTTAGATCTATAGTCCTAGGGACTAGTATTCAGGTTTTGCGTTTTTTAAGGCTATCTATCTCAGATTAACAGGCTATTTTCCATTTTAGCGCGTCGCTAGAACGTATAGCCTCGAGATAGGTAGGATCGGTAGCTAATAACGTAAACTCGTTATTTGCATAATATTTCATTTGTTCGATAAATGATCGATCCTCTATAGGTCTTAGATCCGTTATAGAGTTGTCATTTTCGACCAGTTGATCGTTTACTAGTTGATTATCTATTTGTTCAACCAGTTGATCGTTTGCTGATTTAACTAGTTAATTTTCTAAGTAGTCAACTAGTTGCTCATTTGTTATAGTGTCGATCTGTACCTATATCTTAGCTAGTTTGCTAGATAGACGTTCTGGGAGGTCTTTTATGAAGACTCCTTCCAGTATATCAACATCTCGCGCTATAGTAACCGTATACCTAGCGCTAGGCTTAGTAAGCCTATATTAATTTAATCCGTAACCGACTAAAATATAAGAATTTACCCTAGGATCTAGCTTTTTAAGAGATTTCTTTGGTTCTCTTTTATAAGCTATAGATCCCCAGGTTCTTATATTTGAAATATTAGCATCGGCAAATTTTCCCGCGCGACCCTAAGAGCCCTGGGCTGCCCTGGGCTGTCAAGGTAAGTCTGCGTCTTACGCAGCCCATGAGACCGCTGGGCTCGCTGGGCTACTCTAAGAGAGCTCATAGGCTACTCTAAGAGGGCCCTGGGCTAATATAATAATTTATAACTTTACGAATATATAATTATACTAGTCGGTTAAACTAGTACTAATAAAGATTACTATATTATACTAAAATTAA